TTCATCTTCCCTATCCTGTTTCCAGTTTTCTCATGTGTATGAGGATCAACTATTGTCATATGGAAAGAATTAATTTTAAAAGCTTGCTCACATCATATACAAAAATTAACTCAAAATGGCAAGAATTAGAACTATAAAATTATTAGCATAAAATAAGACTGATATTACATTAAAATATCAACCAATAAAACACAAATAGAAAAATAGGACTTCCTTGAGTAAAATTCTTTCATTCTCCAAGTAATATCATCAAGCAAGTGAAAAGACAGCCTACAAAAAGGGAGAATACATTTGCTAATTACGTATTTGATTATGAACAGAACAAGAGAGCACTGCACATTTTAAAATTAAGAAAAGTGTGCATCAAGGTTGTATCCTTTTTGTCCATACTTATTCAATCTGTATGCTGAGCAAATAATTGGAGAAATTGGATTATTTGAAGAACAATGTGGCATCAAGATTGGAAAAAGACTCATTAATAATCTGTGTTATGTAGATGACACAACCTTGCTTGCAGAAAGTGAAGAGGACTTGAAACACAAGCTGTAGAAGACCAAAGATTATAATTGGCATAAAATAAGACTGATATGACATTAAAATGGATTATATCTTCAAAATGGATCATATCTCAACATCAGGAGAATAAAACTCCTCACCACTGGCCCAACAGACAACACTGTGATAGATGGAGAAAAGATTGAATTAGTCAATGATTTCATTTTACTTGGATTCACCATCAACACCTAGGGTAACAACAAGAAATCAAGAAACTATGCATACCTATGTTTGTTGCTATGTTGTTCACAATGGCAAAGATATACAAACAACCCATGTGCCCACCAACAAAAGAATGGAAAGAGATGTAGTGGTATGGCAACACAGTGGAATACTACACAGCACTGAAAAATGAGGAAGTCATAAAATATATAAAATGGGTGATACTGGAGAACATTATGCTGAGTGAAAATCTCAGTCAAAAAAGGACAAATACTATATAATACCACTTTTATAAAACAGGACTGACATGGGGGCTGAGGGACACTAAGAAAAGAGAGGATAAATAATGTACATCGCACTGAAAACAGATGAGAGAAAGAACTGTGTAAAAGGAATATATGATTAGGCATTATTTGCATGACAACAATCCAGAATAAGAGATACATAGCAAAGTGTACTGGGGGGGGGGAGGTGATTGTGCAACAACGAAAGAATTTTTTTAAGAGAAAAACCAAACTGCAGGAGGGGAGTTTGGAGAAAAATGTGCAACACAACGAATGAATGGAAATCCAAGTTTTCTGTAAACTTTTATTAAAATATCATTAAAAAACTTATAAAAATGGAGAACAGGTACAATAACCAAAAAAAGGAAAAAGAAATAAAAAGACATTTTGCATTGGGAAATTTGCATGCTATCAAGGACCTCTCCAAAGTGCTAAAGAGCAAGATGTGAGTTTAAAGACTAAGGTGCACCTGATCCAAGCAATGGTCTTTTCAATTACTTGCTATGCATCTGAAAGCTGGACAGTGAATAAGCATGACAGAAAAAGAATTGATGACTTTGAACTGTGGTATTGAATAAAGAGTAATCACTACCCCATGGACTGCCAAAGAAATCAAACAAGTCTGTCTTAGAAGAATTGCAAAGTGCAAGAGTTAAAGGGTGCTCTTTAGAGGCAAGAATGGTGAATCTTTGTCTCACATACTTTGGACATGTTGTCAGGAGGGGCCAGTCCTTAGAGACACAGTGCTAGGAAGCATGGAAGGTCAGAAAAAGAGAGGAAGATTTTCAACAAGATGGAGTGACAGAGCAACTCTAACAATGGGCTCAAATGCATTGGATGGTGAGTATGGGGCTGGATAGGGCAAGGTTCAGATCTGTTGTTCATACGGTTGCTATAAGTCGTAGTTGACCTGATGGCACCTAACAATAACATATGTGATAAGGAATTTGTTATTAGTAATAGCCAAAGCAGTTGGCTTGTTAGCATTAGCAGTTCTAATGCCCCCCAGTTGCTGAGGGAGAAAATGGTTAATTTCCTTCCATTAAAATTAAGTCTTCGAAACTGAATGGAGGTTTACATAGATAGGAGTAGTTTGGGGATTGTTTTCCCCTCCCTGTTTTAGGGTTTGATGAGGTTGGGATTGAAAGAAAAGTGACTGCTAATAGGTTCCTTTTCGGGATAATAAAAATGTTCAAAAATTGTGATATTTGCACAACTGTGAATAAAGTAATAACCTCTGAATTCCATACTTTAAATAGTTCAGATGTATGGATATGTTGTTGTTAAGTGCCCTTGAGTCAACTATGACTCATTTCAACCCTATTTCTAGGTATTAAATACTAAATCTCAGTAACATTTTACTCAGTAAACACAAGCAAATGATAGTTAATGGAGCTATTTTTTAAAAATTGCTGTTGCTTTTATGTGCTGTTGAATCAGAACTGATTCATAGCTGACCTTCTAGCAGGTTTTCAGAGACTGTAAATTACATGGGAGGAGAATGGTCATCTTTCTCCCAAGGAGCAGCAGCTGGTGAATTTGAACCATATGCCTTTGGGTTGGTAGCACAACTCCTTACCCAGTACTATATGTCAGCGCTCCAAACTGAAAGAAATAAACAATAAATTTCATGAGCTTATGTTCTTTGCCAATGCTTGCTGATTGAGTTGCAAAAGAATTTTTAAAATTTTAGTATACCATTCCAAAGAAATAAGAACTGCAACACAAACTGATACTGATATACTTACATCCATGTTTACTGAAGCATCAGATATAGCAGAAAAGAGTGGGAAATAACTCTTGGGCCCTTCAACCAACAAAAGGGTAAAGAAATTGTGGTACATTCACATGACGGAATTATTATGTAGCACAAAAAAATGATCCCAAATTTGTGAAATATGGTACAACATTAATGAAATTTGAACAAATGATGCCAAGTGGTATACAATAGTCACAAAAGAACAATTATATATATGAGCACTATAAGATAACTAATATAAAAAGCTAAAAAATTGTTTATACACACATAAAATCCATGGTTAACAATCATGAGAATCAAGAAAGGGGAGCAAAAAACAAGTGAAAATAAAAAGTTGGCTTCCTCTCCATATTTCAAGAAGGTAGGTCCGTCTGAGGAATGTAACTTTTTAATAAATCTGTCTTTACTATTTTACCCTCAAAGGAGGAAAAAAAAAAGTGAAGGAAAGGTTTATACACAAGGAGAAGCAATCTTGGCGGAATAACGATGGGAAGGGAGAAGGAAAGGGGAGAAAACTATTGTACTTTTAACAATCGCAGTTCAAGATTTTCTTATAACAAAAGGAATACTTGACAAAACGGTACCATTTCCTAACGTGTATGAACAAATAAATTTTGAAGTCCAAATAAATTCTAAGGAAAGGAAAGCTTATTTATGACCTAGACATACAGGTATTAGTTTTTGTGCTGAAATGGAAACTCTTCCTGAGGGAAGGGGGCAGAGGAAGGAGAAATAAGTAGTCATGGAACCTTGAGCTTCTAAACTGACCAAAAATTTAAAAGTCAGAAACACGGAATCTGAATGTCCACTTTCTTCTGCCTGAGCCCCGCAAAAGATTGGGAGCCCAAGAGTCCGAGATTGCTGAGTCCAGCAAAAGATTTGTGACCCTGAATGATGCGACTTCCAGGAGAAAGTTCAAAGTCAAGAGATCTGATTTCTAGGTTTGGTCCTTGCCGGGCAACATCAACAACATCTGTGCACTTTCAGTGTTATTTTTTTTTTAAGGCATATAACTCAAAAAACAAAACCATAAAACCTTCAAATCAATTTGCCATTTGAGTTGGAATCCATTTGTAGCACACCTTCCAGCTGATTTTCAGGCGCGGTAAACTGCGTGGAAGCAGTAGTGGCATCCACTTCGTAAATAATATGCCTCAGGAAACCCTATGAGCGTTGATAAATGTGAATAGTTGTAGAGGGGCTTCAAGCCTTTTGTTCACAGCGTCGCTATGAGTCGTGCTCCACTTGAAGGCAATCAACAACAAAAACAAACTGCGTGGAAGGAAGACTGCTCATCTTTCTGGCGCAGAGCAGCAGGTGGATTTGAAAGGCCTGTCTTCAGGTTGGCAGCGCCACCCTTTGCCCACTAGACCAGAAAACACCTAACACTTCATTAGGTTATGAACTGGTATATTTGGAAGTACTGAGAGACGTTGGAGTGTGGAGGAGTGAAATACAGCTTGAGTTTGACCCAAGTTCTGCTATAGCACTATCTGACCATGGACAAGTCATTATTTTCTCATTTATAAAATTACTGTGTTTTTATAAAAGTGGCACTTCTGTGGGCCTTCCCATTGTATGAGGTTGAGTGGTCCGGGGTCTTATTTAGAGATGAAGAGGGACAGGGAACCGAGTCTCTTGTCCACAGAAGCAGTGTTAGAGATCTAAGACTATGGGGTCTGTGATGAGCCTCACACGACCTGCGCTGCACCAGCAGCCAGCAATGGCGGCTCCCCAACATCGCCGCCACCAACATCTATCTATCGGCTGAAGCTCGCCATCTACCGGCTGTTTATGGTAGCTTCTGGTTCCTAAGGAACGCGAGAGGAGGGAGGGTGCGAATTCCGGGTACTGCGACATCCGGGAGCCAATACGCTCTCAGTTTACTTATCTAACTTTTTTCATTGGGCCATTACAATTGTTAGTCAACCATTTGCCACGTTTTTATTGGCTCGTCTTCAATCATTCTATTCAATCGACTACTACTGCTTTCGAAGAATATCTTTACGTCATTATGCATCCTGAGTCAGACGTTTTTAGCCAGTTCCTACAGCCTCGAAAACTCGGTGGAAGGTCGCTATGCGTAGGAACCGACTCGAGGGCAGTGGAGCTGTTTTTCATGCTGTTTGTTGCACTTCGCTCTTCCTTCATCATTTGAGCGGAAGTGACAGAGCGCTTAATCCTATTGGTTTTCAGGCTGTGGTTGTCTAGCAGGATTGCCACAGGAAATTACGCACCGGAAGGGGCGGGCTTAGTGAAGATGGCGACGCCGGTGAGTACATGTGGTTAATTTCTCACATCTCAATTGTAGACTTTTGCTTACACTTCACCTCCTCTAACGAAATATCTCAAAGTAGACGTGGCGCTGTGGCAGAGTGGTGGTGAAGGCTGCTTCAAAGAGGCGGCCTCCCCGAGCCACTGGGGCAAAAGCACCAGTCGGAAGACTTGGGGCTGGAGTTCCCATTCCTCAGTATCTGGAGGACCAGCCTTGCAGTGAGACGAGGCTATGTCTGTATGTTGGAGGAGATGACTCCCAAGTCAGATGTCTGAGAATATTCCCCCCCCCCGAGACGCCCCATTTTTGGATTATCTTGAGGAAAGAATGTGATTTGTCTTTGCTCTCCCTTACTCTTCTGTAGGAGGTGTTAGAGTCAGACCTGCCTGGCGCCGTGACACTTTTGAAAAACCTACAGGAGCAGGTGAGTAATGTCACATTTTAGAACTGGATTAGTCATGTATTGCTTTTGTGGGTCCCGCCTCCACACTTTGGCGACTTAGGAGCAGATCTTCGAAATCATATGCATATGTGAAAGTTGAGTAGTTAATAAAGAAGACAGAAGAATGCACTGTAGATGACAAAAGGACACACAGATCTGTCTTGGATACAGCTCAGCCAGGAAGATTGTCTCCCATACTTTGAATGTATTATCAGGAGGATACCCAGTCTGGAAAAGGGCATCATGCTTGGAAAAATAGATGGGCAGCCAAAGAGAGTACATGGGGTCGCTGAGAGGCTCCATTGCACCTAACAGCAACATTTAAATGCTAGCAGGTATCATAAAACTATTTAAGGAAAACCATTTCAGGCTAGATTTCAAAGTAATTGTTTCCTTTATCCAGAAGAATACAGAACACTTATAAAGAACCCTCCGAAATCATATGAATCTATTTTCTTTGGTTTTGTAGCTAAGCAACAGATGTGGGTAAGGTGACATGATCTGTGCTAAAAGTAACCCTTACACATTTATAAAGTTGACATTTCCTCACGATGCCCTCCTCTTTCCTCGAGGTTTGATAAAGATGATTGCATTTTTGAGATTTTTCTCTTTAAGATGAAAACTTTTTTCTGCCCTTTGATTGCAAACTATTTTTCTTGTAGTATCTCATAACTCAGAAGTTGATAACTGTAATGTTTCAAATAGTTTAAAGCAACTCTGTTTAATTATTGACCTTCAGCTTCTGACATAATGCCTAGTTAACTAATTTATTTGCACTTGTTTTAGGTGATGGCTGTAACTGCACAAGTACAAGCTCTGACAAAAAAAGTTCAAGCTGGAGCCTATCCTACAGAGAAGGTAAAATGAACTTAAAGTGTAAACGTAACTTGATGTTTTTAATAGTTCTTTTATTGTAGTTCCGTTGAGTCTAGTGAAGAAAGCAGATAGAAGCAATAAAAGTTATGTTACAGTCAAGGCAGGTGCTGTTAAGAGATGAGGAGAAAGATTACCCACTAAAAAGCAAAATTAATTAGGAAGAGCTTCTCAGCAGAAGTGACCCAATTTTGAAGAAGAAATTGGAGTTAAAAGGGCAGAAAGAAACATGTACAAAGACCTGAGAGCATGATGATGTTTAGAAAAGGAAGTAAGTGAATTGTGTGGTTAGATGTACGTTTTGGCTGTGTAGGGTGGTTAACTGAAATAACTGAAAAAGCAGACCAGCTAAGAAGTTGTAATATTTAAGATGCTGTTGCCTCTTTGTTAATTGTATTTTGGTTTCTTATATGGCACTTCAGGTACCTGCTAGCAGGGTCACCTAGAGTGGACAGATTTCAGTGGAACTTCTAGACCCTGACACTCTAGATAAAATGGTCTGATTTTTTACAAAAAATTAACCAGTGAAAGCCATTTGAATCACAACAGAGTATCATTTCATATAGTGTTGGAAGATGAGCTCCTTATATTGGAAGGAACTAATAGTGGCTGCAACAATGAACTCAGATATACCAATGGTCATGAAGATGTCATAGGCAAACATTTTCTTCTTTTACATAAAGTCACTGTGAATCGGAGCTCTCTTGCTTATCTCTTATAACAAGAAGATACTATTTTTTTTTAATTATTAAATTTTATTAGTATTAATGAACATTTACAGGGATTTTGGGTTTTCATTCCTTCATTGCTGTACCATTCTCTCTAACCTCTTCCTCAGTTTGTTCTTCTTCCCCTGCCCTCCGAATGTCTGTTTTAATTGTCCAATTGCCACAGTGCTTGTCAAAGCCAGTTCTGTTTAATCTCCTTTGTCAGTGTGTCCTTTGCCATTCCCTATCACTCCTCCCTGAGAGAGACTTCACCCTGATTCATAAGAAGATACTATTAAAGATAAATTAACTTTTTATGTAATAAGAAAAATTGTCAAGCAATCACAAGATTTATTATAATGGGAAAATCTGCTGTCAAGGACCTCTCCGAAGTGCTGAAGAGCAAGTATGTCAGTTTAAAGACTAAGGTGCATCTTATCCGAGCCTTGATATGTTTATTTATTTGCTATGCATCAAGAAGAGAGGAGTAAATCAATTCCTTTGTATTATGGTGTTGGAGAAGAGTACTGAATATCCCATGGGCTGTCATAAGAACATACAAGTCCGTCTGAGAGGAAGTGCAACTAGGCTGCTCTTTAGTGGCAAGTCTGGTGAAACTTCAAAGTGCATACTTTGAACATGTTGTCAGGAAAGGTCAGTCACTTCTTGGAAAAAGGCATCATCCTGGGAAAGGTAGAGGGTCTGAGAAAGAGAGGAAGGCTCTAAGATGAGATAGATTGAGAAAATTACTGTAACAGTGGGTTCAAGCCTAGCAGAGATGTTAGATGAGGATGGCTCAGGATAGGGCAAGGTTCGGTTCTGTTGTTCATAGTGTTACTGTCAATCATCTTTTTGATGGCATCTGAGCTTCAGCTTACTTGGCTCCACAATCAACACTTGTTACCAGCATCCAGGAAATCAAAAGATGAATTGCTTTGGGGAAAATCTGCTGTCAGGGACCTTTCTAGAGTCCTGAAGAACTAGGATGTCAGTCTGGAGACTAAGGTGCTCCTGATCCAGGCCATGGTCTTTGCAGTTACTTGCTGTGCCTTAGAGAGCTGGACAATGACTAGGGATGACAGAAGAATCAAGGCTGTTGCGTCGTGCTGGAGAAGAGTATTGAATGTACCGTGGCCTGTTAAGAGAACAAGCAGGTCCATCCTGAAGAGGGTAAAATCAGGCTATTCCTTGGAAGCAAAGATTTTGAACCGCTATCTGACATACTTTGGGCAGGTTGCAAGGAGGGACCAGTACTTAGAGAGGGATATCATGCTTGGAAGGGTGGAGGGACAGCACAGGAGAGGAAGACCCTGGATGACATGAAGTCAGTGATGGGTAATAGGGTGTTTCACAGATGATGAAATTGGTTCAAGATAGGGTTCAGAGCTGTTTTACATAGCATAGGGTCATTATGAGTTGGAGTTGACAGCATGTAACAACAAGAAGAACAAGAAAAATCGATGCCTATAAATTAATCTCTCATGTAATGCCATAGACTGGAAGACGTATTGTCATTTTAGGGATACTGAAATGATGAAAATTATTGTATCTTACAGTTGAAATATGGTAGTTTTCAAGTTAAGTCCTTGTAAATCTCAGGGAGTGTGGGGCATTATGGAAGGAGTGCTGTGGATCCTGTAATCTTTTGTGTACATTAGGAAAAACACTGGTGTTACTGGTTTTATAAATAGAGTTTTATCCCAAGACACTACTTAAACAGAACGTGAAATAGCTCAACAACAATGTGAGAATTGTTAGAGTATGTTAATATGAATCACTGAACAAGTTTTAAGTAGAGAAGTAACAGCAAATCTTACGTTTCAGAAAGAATGAGCTGTATTTCAAGTGTGTTATTTCATGCTTTTTCTTATATTATCTTTTGTTCTTAGTGTTTTCCTCTTTGATTTTTGCTTTATCTTCCTTTGTTTGTTTCATGTACTTCAAACCCACTTCGAACTTCACATGCTTAAACATGTCCAGACAGCCTACCTCTCAAATTCTTAGCTTGACTTTGTTCTGAGTACTACGTTTTGATTCACTTTAATGCTGTTTTTAGATGGGTTTCTCTTGGATGTTTTAGATGGGTTGCCAGCATGTATCTTTAATCTTTACACATTTATTTATTCATAGAGCGTATTCTTACTAACTTATCTTTCATGCCCTTTTCTAAGAGTGTTGTTGAATGTAGAATATGATTTTCAAGGCTGTTAACTTTTCAGAAACAAATTTCCAGATCTTTGGTTCAAACCTCCCCTGAGTATGTTTAAACCATAAACTTCCAGTTAGTAGTCAAGTACTTAATCATTTGTACCACCCAGAGACTCTTTTTCTAGGTGTTTTAAAGGCTGCAAAGTGCTTTTATATTTTTGGATCCTCATAATTATTTGTGAGGCTGAAGGAACTATTGAATGTACTTTACAGACGTAGAGGCAGTCACATAGTTTACTTGACTCACCCAGTATTGATTACTAAATTCTGAATTACTAAGTCATAGCTTAAATCCAGCTTGTCTAGCTTTAAATTCTTTGCTCATTCACCTGGGCCTAACTAGTGCCAATCTCAAGAGTCTTGAGTATTCATTTAAAGATACCTTATACTTATTCAGTCTCCTAACCAAAGAATTCTACAAGCTGCAGTATATGAGGAAGAATGTGACATCAAGATTGAAGGAAGACTAACAATTTATAATAAGCTGGTGACACAGCTTTGCTTACGGAAAATGAAGAACCTTTGAAGCATTTATTGATGAAGCTTAACTACTAATCTTTACATGGCTCGTTCCTCAACATAAAACAAAAATTCTCACAAATGTACCAGTAAACATCATGGTAAATGGAGAAAAGATTGGAGTTGACAGTGCTTTCATTTTACTTGGATCAGATTTATAGTTAACACCTGTGGAAGCAGCAGTGAAGAAATCAGCTTGGACAGACTTGCTACAGATGACCTCTCTAAAGTGTTGAAGAGCAAAGATGCTACCTTGATATCTAAGGTGCACTTGCACCAGACCATGCTGTTTTTGTTTTGTGTGCATGTGAACGTTGGAAAGTGACTAAGGAAGGTGTTGTTGTTGTTGTTGTTATGTGCCGTCGAGTCACCTGCGACTCATAGTGACCCTATGTACAACAGCCCTAAACTCCGCTCTGTCCTGTGCCAATCGCACTGTCTCTGACACTCCCATCCCAATTATCCCAGTCACTGAATTAATCCACCTCATCGAGGGCCTTCCTCTCCTGCGCCGTCCCTCCACCCTCCCAAGCATGATGTCCCTCTCTAAGGACCGGTCTCTCCTCACAACATGTCCAAAGTAAGTTAGACGGAGCCTCAGAATCCTTGCCTCCAAGGAGCCACCCGGTTTAACCCTCTCCAGGACAAATCTGTTTGTTTTCCTAGCAGTCCATGGTATTCTCAATACTCTACTCCAGCACCACAGCTCAAAGGCATCAATTCTCCTTCTATCCTCCTTGGTCATTGTCCAACTCTCTGATGCATAACAGGTGATTGCGAAGACCATTGCCTGTATCAGACGCACCTTAGTCTCCAGAGAGACACCACTGCTCTTCAGCACTTTGGAGAGGTCCCTAACAGCAGACTTTCCCATGGCAATGCGCCTTTTAATTTCCTGGCTGCTGGTGCCAAGACTGTTGACTATGGAGCCAAGCAAACTAAAGCTGTGTACAATCTCAATCTCTTCACCATCCATTCTGATGCTGCCAATTGGTCCAGTGGTGAGAATCTTTGTCTTCTTGACATTGAGCCTCAATCCATATTGTAGGCTGCAGTCCTTGACACTCTGCAGCAGGCGCTTCAGGTCCTCCTCAGTTTCAGCAAGCAGGGTTGTGTCATCCGCATAACACAGATTGTTGATAAATTGTCCACCAATCCTGACCCCACATTTCTCCTCATAGAGCCCAGCCTCCCGGATAATCTGTTCTGCATATAGGTTGAAAAGGTATGGAGATAGGATGCATCCCTGGCGTACGCCCTTCCCAATTTTGAACCATGCAGTGTTCCCTTGCTCTGTTCTGACGACTGCCTCCTGGTCCAAGTATAAGTTTCACATTAAAACGATCAAGTGTTCTGGGATTCCCATTCTTCTCAGAGTCAGCCACAGTTTGTTATGATCTACACAGTCAAATGCCTTTGCATAGTCAATGAAACACAGATAGACATTCCTCTGGTATTCCCTGCTTTCAGCCAAGATCCATCTAACATCAGCTACAATATCTCTAGTACCACGACCCCTTCTGAAACCAGCCTGGACTTCTGGTAGTTCTCTGTTGATGTGCTGTTCCAGTCGTTTTTGGATAATTTTCAGTAAAATCTTGCTTGCATGTGAAATCAGTGAAATTGTTCTGTAGTTTCCACATTTGGTTGGGTCGCTTTTCTTTGGGATAGGAACAAATATCGATCTCTTCCAGTCAGTTGGCCAAGTGGTCGTTCTCCAGATTTCTTGGCACAACTTGGTGAGCACGTCCACGGCAACATCTGTTAACTGAAATATGTCAGTTGGTATACCATCTATTCCTGGAGCCTTATTTTTGGCCATGTCCTTCAAAGCAGCCTGAACTTTGTCTTTCATCACCATAGGCTCTTGCTCATATGTTGTTTCATGAAATTCTTCTGTGTCTTCCAATTCTTTTTGATACAGTGACTCAGTATATTCCTTCCATCTTTTTTTAATACTTCCGTGATCATTTAACGTTCTGCCGAAAGCATCCTTGATTATAGCAACTCGAGGTTTGAATTTGTTCTTCAGTTCCTTGAGAAAAAAATAATGCCTTTGAATTATGGTGTTGGTGAAGAGTATTAAATGTACCGTGGACCAGTAAAAGAACAAGCAGATCATCTTGAATAAAGCCAGAATGTGTTTTAAAACCAAAAATGGTCAACAAGCAAATGGATGGGAAAACTGGTACATCTACACAATGGAGTACTATGCAGCAGTGAAAAATAATAACCTTAGAAAACACTACGCAACATGAGTCTGGAAAACATTTTGTTGAGTGAAATATCTCAGTCACAAAGGGGCAAATACTGCATAAAACCACTGTTTAAAACAATGAGATGGATATGGGAATGGAGAGAGCAGGAAAAGAATGCACTGAAATAGGGAAGGACAATCTGAAATGGATGTTTAGACATTTTTTGTATGACAATTAAGAGTCTAAAACAGGACAAGCATTACAAAATTAATTGAGGGAGGAAAATATGTATGTATGAATGAATGAATGAAAACCAATCTCTTTTTGTAAACTTGCACTAAAACCACAATAAAAAAGTAGTAGTGGATTAAAAAATAAAATAGACAAAAAATGGCAAGGCTTTGACTCACATTCTTTGGGCATGTTATCAGGAGAGACCAGTCCCAAGAGAAGAACATCATTACTTGGTAGAGAATCAGCAAAAGAGGAAGACCTCTTAACAAGATGGATAGGGCTTAAACACAGCCGCTGTTGTGGAAATGGTGTAGGAGCCCAGGTAGTGTTTTGGTTTGTTTTTATAGTATTCAGGGTAACTGAGTCAGAACCTACTTGGCACCAAACAATGCAACAGCTTAGTGAGTTGAATCTCACCTCAACCCATTGATTGTATAATCTTGGGCAATGTATTTAACCTCTCTTAAAGTTGGTCTTCCCAAGGTTGTGGACTTTGTAAATAAATTCATGTCTACACATGACTTTATTTTTTTAAAAAAACAAAACTTGGATATCATTTACTTAGTTTTTCTACCTGCAAGTATAGTGGTTTAAAAAAAAAAATTTAGAAACTCAAGGAAATGAAAAATCTACTTTAATCACCACTTTTATATAACCACTGTCTTAATTTTGAGGGAGATATTTTTATTATAAAGTAATATATGTTAGATATGGGAGAAAGATAGGTAGTCTCTTCCTATGAAATTAACTGCATCTGAAAACCCTCTGGATAGTCAGCGATGGGTCGTTTCTGACCCTACAGCACAAAACAACAATATATGTTAGATGTCAAAACTTTTTTTAAAGCAGTATAGGCACACCATTTTTTGCTTTTGCTCATTTCTTCTCCAGAGGTAACAGCTGTTAACCTTGTGCTGCCTTCCAGACATTATTCTATGCATATAAAAATGCACATCATACTTTTCACTCTACAATTAGTGCCATAGTATACATTCTGCAGTTTGCAATTGGCATATGTAAGTGGTTGCTTTTACTGGTATTTACAGTTCTTCTGTGGGAGATAAAGTCAGTACTTGGTTGTTTTGATTAAAGTAGTTTAAAATGTGGCATATCTAGACATATTTTTGGTTATCACAAATTGGAAGAGTTACTAAATAGAGGAAAACAAAATATAGCTGACATTCTATAATGCCCCAAACACACTTGCCACAGGAAAGAATTAACTGACCCAGATATCACTTAACTTTGATGTTGAGAAACCCTATTTTGTAATCTTTATTGGTTTTTATGCTCTTATTGTTTCTCAGTTATTCTCAGTGCTTTATTTCTTGAGTTGGTATCATTTTCTGTTGGCCATCTTGTAGAACTAGGCAACTACTTTGTGCAGAATACCATCAGAATTTTATGAGTACTGAGGGGGAAATTTTAAACTCTGAGAGAAACATTATCTTGTCTGTATTATACTTAGCAAAATTAGATTTATGGTTTTGATTCTTTTTTTCTTTCTTTTTTTTTAAATTCTCTTACTTAATTTAGGGTCTCAGCTTACTAGAAGTGAAAGACCAGTTGCTGCTCATGTACCTTATGGATCTGAGCCATCTCATCCTGGACAAAGCCTCAGGTGGATCTCTTCAAGGACATGCTGCGGTTTTAAGACTAGTGGAGATTCGCACGGTATGAGGAGTTTAGTATCTTGGGATTCTGAGTTTCCGAATCCTTGACTCCAAGACTATCATACAGTTGCTCTCCTTTTCAGTGAGTGAGTTTTCATGTTAAAGAAACCAAATGAAAAAAGTACTTTTCACATGTGCTGCTTTGTTCATATTTTAGATGCTTTATCTAGCAGGTTACTCTTACCCCTGATATGTGTTTAATTTGAATAAGAACTATAATCTTATTTAACTACCACATTTTAGGTTTTGGAAAAGATTCGTCCCTTGGACCAAAAACTGAAGTATCAAATTGACAAACTGGTCAAGACTGCAGTGACAGGCAGCCTGAGTGAGTGAAAGAAGCCACAACATAATGTGGGGATCATTATAGGGTTCCACAGCTTGTAGAACCTCCTGGGTTTTTTTCCTTTCAGGTGAGAATGACCCACTTCGCTTTAAGCCTCATCCCAGCAATATGATGAGCAAGGTAAGGGATTGCATTATCCTGCCTTTCCTAAAGAATCTAAACCTAAATGAGCCTTGTTGTGACCCAGGATCTCCTAGACTTCCTTTAATACTGTTAGTTCCTAGTTTATCACTTAAAAAGGTTGAGTGGGAGAGTTTCTTTTCCTGCTTTTGTTCATATTTCTTTATTCATTTATTCATATTGTTCATCTTTCTTTACTAGACTACTCTAGCTGTGCTTTTTCTTCTTTAACCTAACCAGTACTTCCTAAGTTTGAAGGCTTTGTGTTCTATTTGTAGTTGAGCTCAGAGGATGAGGAGGAAGATGAAGCAGAAGAAGGTCAATCTGAGACCTCAGGAAAGAAATCTGTAAAAGGAACATCTAAGAAGTATGTTCCACCACGCTTGGTTCCTGTGCATTATGGTATGAACTGTGGCTGCTGCTTCCTCAGCATAAATTGATTCTCTTCTGGGTTTTCTTTTTGTTTCTTTTTTGTTTTGAGATAATTCCTGTTGTTTTTTGTCACATAGATGAAACAGAAGCTGAGCGAGAGAAGAAGCGTCTGGAACGAGCCAAAAAACGGGCCCTGAGCAGTTCTGTCATCCGGGAACTCAAGGAGCAGTACTCGGATGCTCCAGAGGAAATCCGTGATGCTCGGCATCCTCATGTAACCCGCCAGAGTCAGGAGGATCAACACAGGTTTGCACTTAGAAACTTTTCATACTGTGGATACCTGTCCTCAAGATTTGAACAAATATTAAGTCTGATACCAAGAGCTCTGTATAGGAAATGTGGAGAAACTTGGGGCTTTAGTTTCTAAGAATTTAAGAGTTTCAAGCACAGAATAATAACAAGAAGAAAATGGCCTTCCCCTATCTCCCAAGTGTTCTAAAACAAATGCCATATGAAGAATATGTTCAGTTCTAGTAGGGCTTGAATTGCTTCACATCACTGCCACAGCATTCACTTCTATGGAGAAGCCGATAAAAGCAGGTTTTCATAATGATCTTGAGTTGTTGTTAGGTGCAGTCAAGTCCAGTACGACTCATAGCAACTCTGAACAAAAGATCTGAACTCTGTTCTGTGCCATCATCATACTTCCTGACACACAAGAGCCCATTGTGGCAGTCACCACATCAGTCCACTTGGTCAAGGTCTTACCCCCCTTCACCAGCCTTTCACACTACCTAGCATCATATCTTTCTCCAAAGAATAGCCCCTCCTAGCAGCATGCCCAAAGTATGTGAGACAAAGACTCAATGATCTTGAGAGGGCTAAATAAATTCAGGGAATAAAAGTGAGGCATCAGTTGCTACTTGAATATAGACTCATTGAGTTTTGTTCACAGCAGTTTCTGTGGTTGATAGATTTAGTTAAAAGACCCATTTAGAGAATCTTAGGTCTAACTGCTGGGATATAAGAATTTCCTGGTAGAATATTGAAAAGATCTTGTGTACAGGCTATGTGGGTTCATGCCTAGAGAGAAGTCCTAGACAAAGAGTTATTTCATTGGAATTGCATCATATTCTTTATGTCCTTACTTTACAACTCTGTTGATGTGCTATGAAATTTCTTTGTGTGTCTGAAAAGGGGAAGCATAAATAGCTGGGCCCAAGTTTTTGGCTGTAGCTCTCTATGTCTATTGTCTGAACTGCTCAAAATGGGTCTTGTCTTCCTCCATCAGGATTAACTATGAGGAGAGCATGATGGTTCGTCTAAGTGTCAGTAAGCGAGAAAAAGGACGACGAAAACATGCAAACATCATGAGCTCACAACTTCATTCCCTTACGCACTTCAGTGACATCAGTGCTTTGACAGGAGGAACTCCTCATCTTGATGAGGTGAGATGGAGATACAGGTTAGGAGGGTCCTTCATGTTCTCAGCCACATGTATGGGTCATGTTACCATGAGGAATTTGGTGTGGGATGCTGGTACTTGGAAGTGCACTGCCATTCCTCCACTTCTCCATCTGTCTCCAGGACCAGAATCCTACTAAGAAGCGAAAAACGATGCCCAAGAAAGGTCGGAAGAAAAAAGGTCAGTGAAAGATTAGGGCTTAGGTGACACAGATTTAGAAGGATGAATCAGAATGCCAATTTTCTTTATTTTCAACTTGGGTCTCACCAGCCTCTTAGTATTTTTATAATGGACACAAGTCTTTTTAGATGGGGTTTTTGTTTGGTGTTTTTTGTTTGTTTTGGTTTTTTTCTCCTTTCCCCTTTCCCAGATTGGAAATTGGCATGATTCACAGAAGCAATTTCTGGATTCCATTTCTGAGTTGCCAGAGTTTCTTTTTAGGCTTCCTTGGGTATAACTGTCGAAGTGTCACTTGAAGGAAACATCCCAGATCAAAATTTTATTTCCACTTCAGATCTTTCTGTCCTGGGAGGATGTGAAGAGTAACCCCCAGGGGAACAGCTTCTGCTGATCCTGTCTTTGTAGATGCCTTTTCTTTCCCTCCATGCCTTCACTCTCTGACTGTCCTTTGCCTCATTCTTGATTTCCCTTCCTTTCAGGTTTTCGGAGGCGGCGATGATGAGTGTACATTTTTCTGGTTTTTTTGGTCATCCTGGGATACTTCCAGTTTCACTGTATGTAGGATTTTGTTCTTGGAATTCATTAATTTTTGGACATGTGGAAAGCTTCTTGTTAATAAAATAGATTTTACTTACAAATTGAAGCCCTCTTTGCAGTTCTATTGTCTGAGTGGACTCACTGGGTATTGTTCGGGGGAGGTAAAAGGGTAAAGATGAGATTTTCTTGGGAAGAGAGAAAGTTGATTTTATGTATTTTTCCTTAAGAAAGTTTGGTTTGTTTTGTTTTTTCAGAAATTAGAAATTGGTTTAAATATACTGAGAGATTCATATAATCAGTTTTTCTATAAAATTTCACCTATGACTTGTTACTGTCTTAATTAAAACATATTAATGTTAAGGTTTATACTGTTTATTTGTTCTGCTAACAAGAGTCTCATAGATGAGTAGCTATAACAAATAAGATTTTATTTTCTCACTAGGAGGCTAGGTGTCCAAGTTCAAGGTTCTGGCTCTGGGGAAAACTTTCTCTTTCAACTCTGAAGGAAAGTCCTTGTCTCATCAGCCTCTACTTTCTGATTCTTTGGTGATCTCTGTGTCTTGTAATCTTGGCTTCAGCTTTATTTGCACATTTTCATTTAGTCCTTTTTTTAAGTCATTAAAAGTTACTGGCTTGAGTGCTTGCTTCGGCAGCACATATACTAAAATTGGAACGATACAGAGAAGATTAACATGGCCCCTGCGCAAGGATGACACGCAAATTCGTGAAGCGTTCCATAAAAAAAAAAGTTCTTGGCTTGAGATATACCTACATTAACCTGGTCTTATTACATAATAATCAACTCAAAATTGAACAACTCTATTGTCCAGTAGGAATCAACCCATAGCTGACTCTCCCATGAGCTTTCACAGGCTATACTCACAAGGGAGGAGAATGCCCATCTTTCTCTTGTGGAGCTGCTGGCTGCTGGATTCACACCACCTGTGTTTGGGTTGGCAGTGCCGCTCACCCACTAGGCCACCAGAGCACCCTCCAGTTTGGACAATAAGTTCAAAACCCAGTAGAACAAATTATATTAGCATTCAAAACTTGACAGTAATCCTGTGATTTCTGAGACCACGTAGACCTTCTGAATCTTGAGAAGTGGCACCTTTGCCATCAGTTTCAAGTTTGCATTCCAGGCTCACTTGCAAGTGCTGCCCTGGCTTCGGGCAACCCTATCTTCCAGTTGGTGACCCTGCTGCCTCTCCCTGGCAGACTCCCATTTTTCTGCCCCTTGGGTGTGGCAGCCCTGCCCCCTCAGCTTTGAGTAGTAATCCCTCTGGCTGGTGTTGAGTTGGCAAAACTCCAACTCTAAAACCTAGGAGGCTGCAGCCCCACTCTTTGAAATCCAAGAATCCCATCCTTTGAAACTGATAAAATCCTATTTCCCGTGCTACTTAAACAATTCTACAGATTTTTTAGCTGCTCCAGCAAAGATCTTTTCTTAAAGGACTAAAGATACAGTTTCCTCCCTGTAGGGTTCCAAGAAAGAGCTTTTTCTCCTTTCATTTCACAAAGGTCTCTTTCAGTCTAAGCTGTGGTAGGTAGTTGGATCCATCACTCACAAGCTTAATATCTTTAACAAAAGATCATACAGCCATGTCATTAGTGAAAATTCTGGGACATGTGTCCTTCCTTAGTTTATATAATAGAATTTTCTAAATTTTTTAAGTTCTATTTTAATCTTGCACACTTTTTAAAGTCTATCCTTTTTCTCTTGCATTTGAGGAAAGGAGAAGCCACATGATCCCTTTAACATCTTACTTACAAATCTCATCAGCTAAATGTATCATTTACATGTTCTCCTCCCGTGTGCTTAACTGCCTCTGAAAACCCACTGGAGGGTGGGCTATGGGTCAGTTCAGACTCTGCGATACACAACACACACCTTCGTTTTCTAGCACTGCTATCATAGAAATAGCACAAATGGGTGACTTTAACAAACAGGAATTTATTTTCTCACATTTTATGAGATTAGAAGTCTGAATTTAGGGTGCCAGCTCTAGGAAAAGTTTGCTTTCAGCTCTGGAGTTAGGTTCTTGTCTTTTGCTTCAATTTCTTAGTTGCTTGAAAGTCTTCTTGTGTCTCGGCTTCTATCTATTGCCATCTTTGCTTCCTTGCTTGCATTTATGTAATAACCTCTTATATCTCAAGAGATTGACTCAGCGTACACCCACGCTAACTCAACCAATGAGATGATAAACACGAGGATAGAAATTGGGAGAGAGATATATAATACACACTGTTCCCCACCCACTCACTGCTTTTAGGTTGATTCCAACTCAGAGTGAACCACCATCTGGTTTCGGAGGCTGTCATTCTTGGCAGGAGAAGACTTCTACCTTTCTCCACTGCAATAGCTATTGAATTTGAACTGCTGACCTTTTTATTAGTTACAGTACAACATGTAACCAACTGGCCACCAGGGCTCCTTTAATAAATATTTTGGGGAGACATACAATTAAATACTTAACAATATATCTACTAGCCACCAGGTGGCATTAGTGGTTCAGGAAATTTACTTTGGCACTTGACTGTGATCTAAAAAGCATACTAGAACTTTTTCTAATTAGCAGGATTTATTGTCATTTCCACTTCTGAATATTTTTCTTTCAAAAGTAGTGAATGTAAAAAAACCACAGTAATGAGTGTCAGTTATTGAAAGTTAGAAAGTTCATCAGGAAAGAAGAGTGAATGAGAAGACTAAGTACAAAGAATCAGATTAGTCTTATATTTACCAGCTTCTCTGAGCCTTTTTCAGCTATAAAGGCCTCAGTTTACCAGATCCTGTAAGGCCAGCTTTTTACTAAGAACTGGCAAGAAAAGACTAGCAAACAAGGAAAAAATTCCTAGCTTGAAATCTCAAGGAAAGGAAATCCCACACTAGACAAGCTCAAACCAGAAGACTAATGGGAATTACATGTATGAGTCTTGCATTCCATCCAGAGAAGACTGCTTTTGGAGTCAAATCCCTCAGTGACCTGTCTTAAAAGAACAATAAACCATATTTGGTATCTTTTTTCCCTTATCAGTCTTTGGTCACTCTGAGTTATACTTGACTCAGTGACACCTAACAACAACAACAACATCAGTCTTTGGATAATACAAAATGTGGTAAGAGGAATGGAAAGTGAGTACAATTAATCGATTGGGTTTTGCTTAATTTTTTAAAGGCTTTGGAACCCATAAGCTGCTAATTTTTACGTCTGACACTCCTGAGCAGTGTCATAGAGAAGAATGTAATTTGGAACATATTGTATCACCAAAATTATGTTGATAATGAATGAGTCAGTGAACTTGTATTCATACTCTTCTTTGTTGGGACAGGAATTTGTTTTCCATCAGAAGAAAGACTGATTGTAGTGCTGTTTTTTAGCTAATTATGATCTTTGGCAAAATACTTAACCATTGCTGACCTTAAATTTTCCACAATTCAAAGATGACTGTATTAAATCTCTGCAAATCCCTCCAACTCAAAGAGCCTATAGAGTTTTTCTCACAGATCATTTTAGAGTTAAAAGAATATCTTCCTATGCAAAGGACCCACATTTGATTTCCTTGAATGAATGCAGACAGAAAGCCACAACAATTTGAGATCCTTTTCTTTTCTGGCTCAACTAACAGAGCTTCAACTCAAATATGCATTAGTTAGAGCCATTACATTTGCTTCTTAGGACATTACATTTATTTCTTAGTTAAAGTTTGTGAATTACAAGACATTATGTTTATTTCTTAGTTAAAGTTTGTGAATTTCAAGAATTACCAAGGGCTGTTGGAGGAATTTTGTTTGAAAAGTTTACCTTGTATCATATACTGAACTAAGAAAACTTCTATACTTAATCTTTAAAAAACATCATCTTTGCTTTACTCCAGTTCAGTGAAGGAGCTCAGATACTTAGGTTAAACAACTTGATGATGGCTAGTAAACTGATGGACCGGTGCTTGGAACCTCACAGAGGACTGAGGGCCTCAATTGTGTTTATGATTGATACACACACATGCACAGGTAGTCTATAACATCTGGCTGCCCTCTTCTCCCTGCCCCTTACCTATTAAAAATTATTAAGTTCCAGACACTGTTCTGCCCTCTTGGCAGGACAGCAGAGAACAGAACAGACAAAAATCCTGCCTTTCTAGAATTCAGATTAATTCAGTGTAGTCTTTAGACTGTGACATCATGTTTTCCTTGGCCTTCTGATAGCTATTATGCATGATAAATGTGATAATCACTGCATTATGGAAACCACATTTCTGACAGGTACTGTGAAAGGTTTCTAACAAAGAATCATTTCTGAAAGTATATTGGTTTCATAAAAACTTTATAGTCAAAGATGGTAGTTTACATGGTTTCTCAGTATGTAAAACAAGTATGTGGATTTACTTGGGTTGAAGTGGGATGACGGATCTTTGACTCAATGTACTCATAATACGTTCTTCTAAGATTTCGGAAAAGCTCTGTGGAGCATATGGAATTCCATGGAACATAATTTGAAGATCACTCTTTGGTAGGTAAGCAAGTGAACTAAGAATTTTGTGATCTCTTTGTAAGTCTTGTTCTTGCTCTTATTTCTCTTACTCATGGATTCAATTCTCTGAGTGTTAAAACCACGTGTCATATTTCCTCAGTGAAATACTGAAAACAGTCCATTTTCAATATTCACTCAGTAATATCTATCGGTGTCTGTAAACTCTTGTCTGGCTTTACCATGGTGTTGAGAGTCCTGCTTTTTGTTTTAATCTAGTAGCATCTCTACTAAACTCTTAGAAGTTTGAGAATTCTTGACCAAGGCTTGTATTTTTGTCTCTCAAGCTTTGTTCTTTTATTTAGCTTTTGAGAAATTTCTATTGAGCTTACAGTGTTCTTTGTGGATACTTTGTTAGAAAAACACCTACGTATATAGATGACCTGATTCTGTATGTTTTCAGCACCATGGAGAGTTCATTCCTGGGTTAATGGGAAGTGTGGTGTGAGGTTAAACCATGGAGCTGTCGGCTGTAGACCTGTTAGCTTACAAAGCGCCTATTTCTATCCATCCAGATCTTTAGATCTGATTAGTATAAGTTGAATTAGCAGCCCTTTGTCCTCTGAAGAGT